CTCCTAAATCACTCGTACGCACAATTTAAGAACAAATCTGTGCGTACCAACGGTTCTTACATGAGGCACATTAAGTGTTTTCTTATGTAGGTAAAAATCTGTTTAACAACCTGTTAAAATACACCAGAATGCAGGAAATGACATTTACTTCTTTAAAGATTTTCTGGGGGTGGACCGTGGGTCCCCCCAGCATTACAAATTCTCAATCTTTTTTTTTTTTTTGGTCTCTGAATGTCATAAAATCAGTGATATTATCTGTGAAAATAAAAATTGAACATCTGTTGATGAATCCATAGCTTTATATTGCCATAGTTTTCAATTTGTCATTTTTACAAACGCATCATAAAATTTCTGTTATAGATATTAGTTTTGGTGTGCCACCCCTGGTTTTTCAGTGGCCCCCCCATGGCCCCCCCTGAAAAACTTTCTGCAGGCGCCACTGCTTGGGGATCGAGTCTTTGGGTCTCCACAGTCACTATTAAATATTCCATTGGAGAAATCTTGTGTATATATATGTATGTTCACAGCCGCACATAAACTCGTGTTCAGATTCTGGGGTTTCTCACGGTCACTGAGGGTGTATGTAAGTATAGATGTGGGCATGTATACGTTTGTATATATGTGTGAATGTATGTATGTGTGTACGTATATTTATATATGTATGTATGGGTATATGTATGTATGTAAATATTACAGTAAAGTTATAATTATTATGATATACACATTATTTGTTGATGTGTTTTTGTTTTCTTCATTTTTACAGGTGTGCAGATAGATGTCAGGTGTGTTGTCTTGTGTTTTCTTGGTTTATATTTCACATATCTATTGTCTGTTTCAATCTTCTATTTCTTTTTCTTCTCTTCTATTAAAAAAACCTGTCACTGATGATGAAGAAACTAAACTAACATTCAGTTCTGTTTTCTACTGAAGTGAAGGGGAAAAAAAGTTGAATCTCCCGTGGGTCGTATACTGTCGCAGAAATAAAAAATCTACATCATATTCATCTCTCTCTAGTCTGTCATCTCTCTAAGTTTGGCCACATGTGTAGAAAACTAACAGGAGAAAGAAAATGTAGTGAAAATGAATCAGAGACATGTGAATCATCTGTTCTGAAAGGCTAAAAACAGAGCAGACTATTCTACGAAGAATTTATCACTGATTTCCCTCAGGTCCAGTTATGAGCTGAGAAGTCTTTTCTGTGAACCTGTCCCTAAATCAGCCGGGCAGGCTGACTCAGCATTCCCAGGAGAGAACTCCACCCTGTTCAGATACTGTACACTGTGTATATACGTAGCTGTGCTTCTAAAGAACAATATTCTCTGTTTGTGACTCCTGCCGAGAATTATATTCAACAACTGAGTGGCTGGGTGTGTGCACTCACACACTATAAAGATCATTCATTTTTAATAAGATGCAGGTTATGCACTCTTAGCTGGGGGGGGGGCTTTGCATGTATGGGATACAATTAAAAGGCCAGAAAGAATTTGTAGACATTTCACAATATTTCAATTCAATTCAAAAGTTTTATTCATTTCATTAAAAAACACTATATACAATAATAAAAATAAACCAAAAAGATATACAAATCAAAATAAAATGAAAGGTAGCAGAAGAAGAATATATCTTATTATGT